TCTAATTTCACGATGGGTGTTGCGAATGCGTACTTGGCGGATAATGATCACAATAACACGATGGTTGGGACGTATGGGGTTAACGGGTCAGTGTTTGTAGCTAGTGTTCCGCCCAGGAGTATGACTACTTTCTTCTTGGAGTAGGGAATGATACTGCATACCTTGATCTTAGCCTAGTCCAATGATATTGTCCTCCTTCCAAACATGACTGGTCATGTCCTACAAAGTTATGAAAAGATCATTTGCCTGATGTAGCGCCGTGGCAACCGTCTGGAAGGCAGTGAGCATACCATGCGTTTGCCGTGCTCCGCAAACACTATAGCCGACTGTCAGCGCACTTTTCATCGCTCACTGCGGTACTTCACCGCCGCTAGGCCCTTTTGGTGTATTTGCGATAAATCGTTTGCTTGACCCATCGCTAGTTGCGCGCAAACGCAAAGCTCCGTAAAATTTTCGTTGCTCAGCTCGCCTGTCTTTTGTCTGATCCGTCTACTCTAACGTGCCGCGCAGCAGCAAGGAACTACTCCAGACACGAAAGCTACGATGGGCGACTGTCAGAATACCACTAGCGCGTGCACTGGGAACCCTCCTCCAACGATGACGACCCCAGATTTCCCTCCGCAACCTGCCCGGGAATCTGCGCAAACTCCAAGCCATGGGTGTGCTCAGATGATCGTGCCTTTGGGCTTTGCAGCGCAGCTCCGAGCCGTACAAGAAGCACAGCAGGAACAAGCAGAGCGCATCGTCAAGTTGGAGCAAGAGAACGCAGATCTCAAGGACTTCCAAGAGAGGATTATCAACATTGCCGACCGCGTTCAAGCACTGGAGCAGCGTGAAGCTTATCGTGCCGCAAGACGCAGGGAAGCAGTCGGTCTACTCAGTAACATGCGTACCTTGCATCAAGAAGCCGACAATGGATTCCAGCAACGCACGGTGGACATGCAACCGGATGACCTCGAAGGAATGTTGGGTGCGTATGGCATCATGTTGACTACTGCAATGAACAACCACCAGCGCATGCTTGGCCAGATGCGTGCGAACGGCCAGTTTCCAGCGTACACAACGCCAGTTCCGCAGGCTCGACAAGTACTTGCGCCAGTGCAGCGGCTCCACGTTTATCCGCCGGCGTACTCAGAGCCTGAATTGTGCTATGCGCACAGATTACCTTACTGCCGAGTGTGCGGTAAGTAGACGCCTGGCGCTCTCGTTGTATCGACGTTGAGGTCCATTCCTGAATTCATCAGGTACTCGACACACCAACCCCGGACCTCCGTGTGTCTACCAAAACCCGGGATCAAGGAGCCACTCTTCTTGAGAACAGATCGCGATGCAAAGTCTAGCTGATGAGGAAAATGGGGAGCTTGGCGTTGGCGGAGTTTGCTTCAGTCCATTTGACTTGTGTTGAGGCCCAACGATCGTTGGATTCTCAGACTTGATTTTGAATGACCGAGGATACCGACTGGGCCGTTCATATATCCTCGCGTTTCCGAACGTTTAATGTTTTGGGCATTGAATGCTGCGATGAAGGAAACAGCGAGGTACTTGCTATGAGGGAAGGTACACTGTTTCTGCACACCTGTTTAGCTATAACTACGTTTAACATGATTGAAGGGAATCACGCAGTCAATTGAATCGCCAGACATCGTATTGTGATATAGCTAGATTTGCGTGCATGAATCAGGCACGAAAGACTGCGGCTGGATGATGAGGGTGAAACAATGATGAGGTTTGGAAGCCTCTAGGGCTCATGACGACACGCGACGCGTTCCGCTATTCCTGATTGGGGTAGGCCTCGGCTTCCCAGCCTCCAGGGCTCTCAGCACCGCGTCACCGAGCACGTTTCTCAGCGGTACTTCGTCGCCATCATCTCTGCAGCTCTCTCTGCGATGCCATAAATGGCTGTCTGGATATGCGCTGAAATGATCATCGGGATGACGCTCGCGTCCACCACCCTGAGATTTTCTACGCCGTAAACCCTCAGTTGGGGGTCGACCACGCCACCGTCCTTCTTCGGCAACATCGCACAAGTTCCTAGTGGATGGTAGAAAGTGAAGACGTTGTTCCTGATGTACGTTTCCCACTCTGCGTCTGTCTCGGTGCTCATGCCAGGATCGAACTCGGATACCCACACGTCCCTGAAGGGCGCGGTCATGGCCATCTTTCGTGTGTACCTTGCGGCCTGAATTAAAGCCTCGAGATCGTACGGCGTACCAAGATACCTCGGATCAATGAGGGGCTTGTTGGTTGGATCGGATCCGTTGATGTGGACTGATCCCCTAGAAAGCGGGTGTTGTACACCAGCCAGCAGCGTTGCATACTGCTTGCCGTAGCCAGCTGTGCCATTCTTCGGGTATCCGGTTGTTCCTATATAACCATCACTGAAGACGACCTCCAGATCTGGGGCTTCGGAGTCCGGTCCAGTGAGCAGTTCAAGCTTCTTTCGGTCGACAGGATTCGACTTGTTCGCGGATTGCGTTGCCAGCTGGATGAGCTTGCTGTCGTCACCAAGAGCCTGCTTCCACTTCACGAAGCCGTAGCAGCTTCCGGCATACTGGTAGAGCGAAGTACGGCCGCGCTTCCAAAGGTCCAATTCACTGGCCGCCAACGTCGTGTTATACTTTAGGATGTCTACTCCGAGAATGTCGGGCTTGAGCTCATACGTCGTCTGGATGCGGAGATGGTCCTGTAGGTTCTCTCCGACGCCGGGAAGATCAACGATGTGCTCGACACCAGCGTTTTCTAACACGGACTTCTGGCCTATCCCAGAAAGCTCCAGAATCTTTGGAGAAAGCAGGCTCCCGGCGGAAACAACTACCTCGCTCCTGGCTTGGATCAATGTGCCGTCCATGAGAATGACGCCAGTCGCCTTCGACCCATCCTCGTCGAGCTGTATTTTTTGGACAGTAGTGTTGAACATGAACACTAGATTGTCGCCAGCTTCTGGAAGATAGTCCACGGAATAGGAGCGCGTGTGATTGGATATGCGATAGGTAGCCGGCTGATACATGACGCCAAGATTCGTTCCATTCAATGATTCGAGATTCTCTTGTACACCAAGATTGGTCAGCGTTGGAATACAAGCCTGGAGCTGGGGCGGCGGATTCTCAGTGAGAGCGACTTGGATCGGCCCTCCATATCCAACACCATCGACGCCGTACTGTGGAGAGCCATTCTGGCGTTGGAAGTTTTCTGCTTTCAGCATGCTTGGATACATGTTTTGCCAGTTCCAACCTGGGTTCCCGAGCTCTTCCCAAGCATCGTATTCCTTGACAGTAGCACGATTCCAAACAAGCAGGTTCAGGGCTGAAGTACCACCGAGGACCTTACCACGGTTATGGCCTATAGTCCGGTTGTTTGCTTCAGCTTGTGGCACAGTTGGAAGACTCCAATCATACGAGGAACCAAAAGTCGAACCTCTCAGTCCAGGGGTATATATTCGTTGCTCGTCGCGTCCATCTGGTCCAGCTTCGATGACTAGAATACAATGGCTTGGAAGAGCATCGCTGAGTCTCGTGGCAAGTGCAAGGCCGGCTGTTCCGCCTCCAATAATGACCTAGACAAAAGGTCAGCTCCGTCATGTATTCAATATTGCAGCCTGGAAAATACATACAAAGTCGAAGCTGCCATCGGGTACCTGACATGTTTTCGCACTCGCTGCAGGTACGACACCCAGCACGGCCGCGGAGAACAGAGCTGAGATGAGCCACATCGGTGCTCAGCGTCTTGTACACAACAGAAGACGACACGATGGTACTCCTGCGTAGTGGACGCCTTAGACGGGAAACCTGGAGGAATAGAGAAAGCGGGAGGCCTGCTGCATAAGATTCGGAAATACCGCACGACTGTCTAGAGCAGGCCCGCATTGCCAACGGTTCAGTCAGGCCCATTTTTATCCATCATTGGCCAACAAGGAAGGCTCAAAATGTGCCTTCCAGCTACGGCAATTGAGCTCAGATTGATCCTTCGGAGAACCGCTGCCGTGTCACGGAGATAGTCCACACAACATGTCGAGATTGTAAGGCGTCTTATCCAGTCAGGGAAGGATTGTCTGACGAGATCTGTTTGGCCCTTCAATTGGTCAACGCCTCGCATGAATACAGCCGGTATGCATGCGCCTGCATATCGCTCGCATGGATACGAATCCTTCCCTGCGCCAAGGCGGGAAAACCGTTTGGTTCGATCCCCGGTAACGCTCTCCATACCAGATACCTTGCATGCCCAAATCAGCAGCGTTACCGGGCTCGCCTCGCGAGCGCGATTGCTACACTCTCCGTGTTTGTAGCCATGTCTTCCCATTGGCTATGCCACCTGCTGATTGACCTCAAAACACCATAACACCGCCATTGCCATGTGTCGAAATGGTCATGCTGAGCCGTCGTGCAATAGTACATCGAGATCCGTGAGCTCTCAAGCACAGGTAAACCGCCGGCGTCGCGGCTATGAACGGTACGAAGCGAGCCAACAAGAACGATTATTCCCAGTCGACCCCTGCAGCTGAGCGATTCTTCGGCCGCGCGGTGCGTTCCCAGCGTTGACCCAATCCTTTGAAAGCGAAGCTATTCGCCATACGAGGTTTCGCAATAGATCGGGGCGTAACTTTGGTGCAAAGTCTAAGCTCGTGCTTTGTTGGTAGTTTTTGCGGAAAGCACTGTGGATCATGCGTCTAAAGTTGCTGTCCAGAAGGATTCTATGCTGGTCTGGTCGTGCCACAAATAGGTTGCAAGTATCCCCATGACAGTGACTATCTTGGATCCATTTCGTTACTTGAGCCTCAAGGGCTATTCCCGATGATCGCAGACAGAGGTCCGGCGTTGATCACCGTCTCGGTGCTATTTACAACAATTGCCTTCTTCACCACCGTTCTACGGCTCTGGGTTCGCAGGAAACGCAGAGCCCTCGGCTGGGATGACCACACCATCGCAGTCGCGATGATGCTCACGGTCATTGAGGCCGCAGTTACTATCAAGGCAGTGACGAGAGGCAAGGGAAGACCCAGTGCGTCACTTTCCAAGGGCGACAAGGAATTCATCAACATGTACAGCTGGTACGCCCAGCTTGTTCTCTTTGCCGCTATGGCTTCGGTCAAGATCTCGGTCTGCCTGCTCATGACTCGAATCAAACACTCCAGCCAGATGAAATGGCTTGCTGGCTTCGTCATCACCGTTCTGGTCATTGCTGCCCTTGAGGTCATCATCGTCCTGTTGGCCCAATGTCAGCCTATTAGCCTTTACTGGCGCCCGGGACCAGGCACGTGCTGGCCTACAGAAGTACGAATCTACTCAATTTATGCACAAGCTGGTAAGGCATAAGAAAGCCATTTCCTGATCGAAAAGCTTACTTCGCACCTAGGCATATCGATCATCACCGATCTCATATGCTCCTTGCTTCCTATCATCATTACGCGGGACATCCAGTTGCCCACAAGAAGGAAGGTATCGATTTGGGTGCTGATGGCTCTCGGACTGATCTGCACAGCATGTTCTGCTGTCAGGGCGAAAACACTTAATTCGAAAGCAAAGGATATTGCCTGTACGTGAAGATTCTCGCGCTGCAATAAAGCCGTACTGATTAAGATTGAATAGACGAGTACTCTGCTGTAGCCATTTGGGCCATGACTGAGTTATGCCTTGGTATCATAGCCACTAATCTCGCGCTCTCTCGATCTGTTTATCGTTATTATATTGGAAACAAACCTCTATCTCCTAACGACAGCGGACCCAGCCATTTATACTGGCGGCCTGCGGAAGGAGAAAGCAGGAGCTCAAGGATGACCAACAACGGGGCGAGTGACATACCACTCAAACCAGCCGCTGGTGTTGAAGAAACATATGAGGTCGAGATGCATGCGTCTTGAACAGATACCTAATATGATTTGTTCAGATTTGGTCCACTCCCGCAACATACACGAGATACACGATGACTAAATCTGCCCATTAAATAATGGAAGGGATGAGAAAGAAGTCAAATTTGGTTCGTTTTTTTCTAGTTCGCCAGCGAGTCCGACTCGGATACAGAAGCCTCAACGTCTCACGTACTACTACCAGCAGCTTGAGCAATAACCCTAGCCTCTTCTTTCGACAACCCAACAGTTTCCCCCGTTGGCCTTCTCAACCAAAGGCTCACCCTCGCATCCGTCTCACGCCGTAAATCCTCCTCCGTCCATTCCCTCAAGCGCTCAGCATATTCACCGGCCTCCTCATCATCCCGTGGTACAGGACGTGGGCCGTGCGGATCACTCCCAGCACCGTCTTTTCGCTGTCGTTTCCGGTATGCGTCGATTAATTCAGCCGTGATTTCGCGCTTTAATCTCATCTTACTTCTCGCGAGCCCCGTCCTGATGTACTTTTGCAAGAGGTCGTTGCGAATGCCCTCATCAAAGTATGCCATGACTGTACCTCCGATGTGCTTAGCATATGTGCCTTCTTTGAGCTCCATGAGCTCAGCTGTTAGATCCGCGTCTTCGCAGACTAGGCCGATTATGAAAAGGAAGAGGAGGATGAAGAGGACGAGGAAACCGGTGTCGGTCCAACGCCATGCGTTTCCGTGTACGAAGGTGTGCTTTTCGGTGACCCAGAGGTCGCTGAGGGTTGGTGGAGCGGGTTCTGACGGTACTGATGGTGGTATGTATGACATGGCTGCTTTAAACTGGGAACGAGATGTGTATGTAGGTTTGCTGATGTGATTGCTATGTTTGGCTGCATAATTCGAAGATCAGGCCCCGATAGCGCACACGGAGTAGGCGTCTTATGTGAAGGTAAGTAGACAAAGGTATGATGCATGCGCGAACAGTCTTTGATAAGGAGAACAAAAGGACAAAGGTCTACCGAGAAAGCGTTGTACACACCGATTATCCCTTCCAACGTTAGTGCAAAACATGCTTCAAATGCGCGATAGTACATGAGAACGGCAACGTCAGAATGAGAAGGCGGTTGACTATCGCATATAACCCAGATCACTAGCCTAATAAACATACCAACGCAGAACAAGTCGACCTTTTGCATTTCATACATACAACGCGATCCTCTAACTCCTACCCACCCCCATAGAGAACCGTACATCTCCACCCTCGCCCGATCCTCCACTAATAAGTTGCCGACAAATCCCTCCCCGCCGATGTGACCATGCTGTTGCCGGATCCAACCTCCCCTGTCTCATCCCCGTCACGGGTATCGTCTACCTTCAGGTCCGTCGGCGAGAGGGAGCCCAGGACAGCCTCACCAAGTCTAGCATCCTTCTGAATTGCGCTGGTGCTTATGGCCGGCAGTTTCATTTTGCGACGGCCTTGGGAATACCCTGCTGTCGGTGATGGAAGTCCGCGCTCTCCCTCAGATGAAGGCGACACGCCACTTCCGACGAGCGATGGCGTGGGGTCGCCGTTTTCGTAGCTGGCGGTGTCGAGTGCGTTGCGTAGGTCATGAGAGGGTTCGAGTGAAGAGACACTTCTGGAATGGATTGACGCGACAGATGGTGGAAGCTTGGAAGGTTCGCTGTGTTGGCGGCCTCGATCACTAGCCCTGTTGTGTTCAGTGTGATTCGTACGCTTCTTGGTGGGCTTGTGACCACGAAGGACGTAGAACCATTCATCGGCGTTTAATGTGTTTCGGATCCCTTGTTTGTCATCCTTCAGACTCAGCCTTTCCTCAGCAGCTGCCACATCCTTCTCGTTGAAGGAAACACCTGCGTGTTCACTCGATCGAAGGTGGCTAAGCTGTCTATCGGAAGACCCTTCTGTACTACACTGTTGCTCTGCCAGATAGTCCAAGTGTTCTTGATGTGGCCTCCAACGCGGTCCCTTCAGTGCCTCTTTTCGGATAACCTCGGTAGGACTGGGGCTTGCTTCTTGATCATCGACGGTTTTGTGCGCTCCTCCGTTTAGAATCCATTCGTTGTAACGTTGTGTTACGCTCTGGAGTAGGAAGTCGACATCCTCCCTCTCACTCTTCAGTAGACCTCTTTGCTGACGTGGCATACCCTTGAAATAGACGTCTGACAAATCCATGTTCGCAGCAGACCTGAAGTGGCTCACAGCAGCATCCCATTCGCGCAAACCACCGCAGCCACGGCCACACCAGTATTCGGAACGTGCGAGTAGGCTGCGGCTAGATCTAGCTTCGGCAAGTTGGTATGCTTCGACAGCAAACCTATGAATTCTCTTGTAGTAGGACCGTACGATTGCCTCGGCCTCAGCCTCAGACTGTTGTGCCCGGGGTGTGCGCTCCATCGAGTTGATGATTGACTGCAAAACTACGCAACGATTGAGGTATGTTTGGCATTGGATCAGACCCATGGCTATCCTAAATTCGTTGCTGGTTTTTTCTTCAATGGGGATGCCATTTGCGATAGACTCAGGCGTGATATTCGAAGGGGTTTCATTGCTGATGTGTTGATCTCTTTCTCGCAAGAGTTGACTTAATGGTGATGCGCAGTCGGAAGATTTGTCGTGTGTGGGGGGAGTTGGGAGATTGTTGATGTATGCAGATACATCGTTAGTACGATTCGCGACGCCGTTGAGGGACTCATGGCCGAGGGCAGCGACCTCTAAGGGCTGCTGAACGTTTGCGAACATCGCGATGAAATAATTAGAAGAGCAAAGCTCCTAGTAAGCTCAGGTAAATGGTTCTTGCGATGGCATAGAACTATCAACTTTCCGACTAAAGATGTTCGTGCTTTGGGATGTCTCAAGCCGCGCCGCATTTGACGTAACGCTCTCTACAGTAACTCTTTGTTCAATTCCTGCAGCCTTGCGAGAAAGCGGAAAACTTCAACACAAAGAATGACACGGCCCCTCAAATGGTGGCTGAACCGCCATGTCTGTGCGAACAAAGAAGCGGGGTACCAAAAGTTCATCCCCTGAACGGCGGAGTGCTGCCATGGCTTCCCATGATTACAGACCAGTGTGACATGGTAGTATTACTCTCGGTGATGTTCGTCGCTCTTTGATTTGACCCAGCGGTAGGGCAACGACATTCGTCTCGCTTTCGCGGCGGCGCGCTGCCTAAGTTGCGCACTGGTTCGACGGCGCTTGTTCTAAGAGGGGTCAGTATGTTGTAGGGTGTTGGAGTCGACGCCGAATTACCTCTGTGCCCTTATCCTCCAGTTGGGCGAGCAAGCCTTCCATAGTGCGGTTCTCATCAAAGCCCGACCGACGCTTGGTACAGCGCAGCAGATCCAGCTCATCATCGTAAGACTTGCGAAACTCCCTGGCTTTAGCGGAGAGGTCGTCGTCGCAAACTGTGCTGAAGGCTTCTCGGGCTTGGTGGAGTTGACGCAGCTCATAGTACAACAGGCCACGCTGGTATTGTATGCGTGGCAAGAAGTTCTGAAGCTCAGAAAGACGGTCGCAGAGCTCTACGGCTTCGCTGCACGTAGCTAGCGCGTCAAGGAGCTCATCGGGGCCAGAGGCTCTAAGAATATTGCTCTTCAAGAGTAAGCCTTCGGCGCGAGCCTTATGGCTGAGCGGACCTTTCAGGAGTCGCTCAACCTCGACCAGGGCAGTGCCGTAGTTACGCTGAGCGGTACACTCTTGTGCGCGCTTGAACAAGGGGTGGGTGCAATCTTCGGAGGGCCGTCGCAAGTGAGTTGGCTCGATCTCTTTCGGTAAGCATAAAGTAGCGGTACCAAAAGTGAAATTGACGTGAAGGTCCTCAGTACCGTCGAAGGTAGCAGGACGGTGGTTCTCGCGCTCGCCAGAGACTGTCTGGAGACGTTGTTGTTGAGCTCGCTCGTTTTCCAGCTCGGCTTGCGTAGCAAAGCACACGTTTTGCAGCTCGTGTAGGCGGGATGTCTGAGCTTCGAAGGCCGCTTTGTATTGGAGCGCCACAGCCTGCCAGGTATCTCGGTCGACCTTGAGGTCATGGACGATGCGTTCGATCTCGGAGATTTGTTCCATGCTGATCGGCGGCATCGTAGTAATGCACGAATCAATATGTTTGTGGTGGTGTCCAAGATGACGGGGTGGATGTGACTGTTGGCTCGGCTACAGACGAGTTGGTGCCTAGGTGATGTTTAGAGCAAGCGCAACCTACGAAGAGCAGGCGCGGTGGATGTGTCCTGGTCACGCCTTCTCCGGAACCCGCATATTGTAAGTTGCACCAGGCGTCGTCAGATGTTAAAGCCGCCATGTCTTGATGCTTCGACGAACCTCCACAAGCCAGCTTCTTGGGCTGCTTTTTTGACTGATGCGACTTCATCCAGGTCTACCGCGCGATTAATCTCACTATATCGCACGTCTTTCTTAGTCGAAGGTGAGGCTTCAACACCGCCTGGCTCAACAACGCCCTGGCTTGCACGGCCGCGCCGCTCCTTGCCTACATGAGCTCTTGGAAAATACTGCTCCATAATGTGCACCATGATGTCTTTGCTCACGTTCTCGGCAAGCCACTTCACAATTTCTCGTCCCTCGTCCTCCATGCCGGGCATCACCAGGTGTCGCACCAGCACTCCCTTCTTGGCGATGCCGTCAGGAGTGAAGCAGAGGTCGCCCACCTGCTCGTGCATGGCCTTGATACTCTCCATAGCCACCTTTGTGTATCCGTCTGCCTTCAGTAACCGACGGCTCGTCGCGTCACGCCACACCTTGAAGTCCGGCAGGTAAATGTCCACCAAGCCATCCATCAAGTGTATGCTCTCGAGCGAATCGAACGACGACGTGTTGTAAATGATGGGTATGTGGAGACCGAGATCGCGCGCGTGCAGAATCGATAGGCAGACCTGGGGTACGACATGTTCGGGTGTAACGAGGTTGATGTTGTGGACGCGGCCCACGTCCTGCAGCTTCATGAACCACTCTGCGAGTTGCTCTGGTGTCAGGTCGAACCCGTTGCGCTGGTGGGCTATATCGTGGTTCTGAACACGGCGTTAGTGTGTATGCTACGACGAAGGACAGGGCAGCATACCTGGCAAAACACGCATCTCAGGTTGCACCCAGAGAAGAAGACTGATCCGCTACCATTGTGTCCCTGAAAACAGGGCTCCTCTGATCGGCGTCAGCACGAGCACGCCTACGGTTTGTCTATTTCAACCCACCACCAAAGTGAGGAGCGATAGTGTTGACTTTGACAGTCTCGGCTCCTATTAGACACGTGCCTGTCGTCTCGTAACGATTGACACCGCACAGTCGGGGGCAGAGATTGCATTCACGCAGGTGCGCATAGGCCAGGGATCGCTTCTTGGCGGCTTCCACTGAGGAGAGCAGCTGATAGCGCGGTATATAGTCGTCCAGTAGGTATGGCGGCGCGAGGTAGAGGTTTCGTCTGGAGGGTATGCCTCGGGCGCGGAACGAAGGGCGTCCAGCAGCACCAAGTCTCAAGGCGGGTCGCGTTCGCCAGCTGAAAGCCATTCTAGCAGGCCCGAAGAGGACATCGAGTTGGTAAGACCACGACGCGTAGGGTACACGTGTGATGCGAGGCCGAGGTTTAGGTGCTGCAGCCATAGCGATGACGACAACCCGACTCGCCGAGGCTCTAAAGCCGCGCTATTCCCGAATTGTCACCTCCCCAATTACTGTGAAGAGCATCAGGAGGCTTTCCAGGAGCAACTACCTGCCTCCGTGTACTGTCGCCTTCATCCCCGCCTTCGTCCCACGTTACCGCACTACCACATCTCACGCGTTTAGAGTACTTCATCTTTCCGATAGCTCCGCGCCGAAAGCTTAGTCTGCGAATGGCTGTGGGTTCCTACACCACCAATGCTAGGCCGGTGGTTTGCTTTGGCACTATATCCAGGAACGATCGAATGGGTTTCAGACGAACCTACCAGCTGGAACCATCATGGTCTCGTGATACCTTCCCCGCCCGGAGCCTGGGAACACCGGCAATAATTGACCACATGAATGCAATACTCTAGTATGATCTATTCAAACCACAAGCCAATACACTTCAAAGAGCATCGTGCGCCGTGACAGAGCGGTGTGAACAGACTAAAGAGCTGCATTACCACCACTCACACCCACATCACACGCTTCTGCGTCATCTTTATCCTCTATTACTATTAGAATGCGGATCCAGGTAGGACAGCTTAATATGATATTCAGAGGAAGTGGTGTGAGAATACAGATCTGCAAAGCCACCTCAACATGGAGCTTGTCGGGCCTAGTCGCTGACAACCCTCAAGAGCTAATGGACGTCTTCACCGTTAGCAGAAACAAGCTTGCGCATCTGGAGAAGCAGAGAAATCCGCCCAAGACAGTATCTTTAGCAACCCACCAAATGCGATCGATCAATTGCTGTAGCTACCCGTCTGGTGCCCCGACAATACCTACATCTCGGTCGCCAATACCAGCGTGCCTTGCCGACACGCGAATGACAGCTTCGTCGTACTTTGTACTGTTTCCGAAAGTGGACTCATCGCTGCCTTGTTGAGCAAAACGACCACGTAATCGTGCTACTTGGTCTTGGAGTCGCTCTTGCCTTCTTGGGTGGATCTTGTCTTGGTATTGCTCGGTGTGTTGCAAACCGCGACTGCCCCAGGCACAGCCAATGCGACTTCCCAACTGATGTTAGGCAGTCACTTGCCTCGCACAAGAAAGTCTGCAAGGACGGCACAGCCATCATGTTAGCTTGTTCTCAAACATCACCCAAGCGTCCCAACACTACCGCTGCACTTCTTCCCCAAGTATAAGAGCATCACTGCGAAGCATCACTACTTCAGCATCGACAGCTTCAGCTTCCACACATCAACATCTTCCACCCAATCATCGACCCCTCAAACATCAAAATGCGCATTTTCGCTCTCCTTCCCGTTCTCTTCGGCCTTCCAGCCTTTGCTGACCTGGTCGAAACCAAGTTTCCGACATTGCTCCTGCCCATGAAAAGCTCCCAGCCGGACACCGCTTTCTATACCCAGGATGACGCGACCGTCAGCCGCAATGTAAGTGTCTACAAGACCCACAACATGACCGTGCCAGCTACTAACCCGTCGGTCAGAACAAGACAGACACCGAACAATGGACAGCAATCAACTTCGACGTCCCCCAGATCGACAACGTCAAGATCTGCCGCCTGCGGTTCCTCATCAATGTCGACCCCTTCAAGAACGCCCCACTTACCCTCAAGGGCGAAGCTCCTATGGCTATCAGCATCTCTCGCATCGAAGCCAAGCTCGTCAACGGTCGCAGTACCTGGAACAACAAGCCCGCCATCACCGAACATTACGACGCCTACACTCTGACGGCGAACGGCGCATCCGAGGTAGTCAGCAAATGGTTCGAGTGTCCCATGAAGAAGGCCGCGCAATTTGTCATTCATCCCGCTAGCAAGAGAGACTTGGAGCTCTACTGGTTTGAGCTGAACTACGGTGCCAACGACGGAGGTCCACACGGAGTTGTGCTGGAGATGCACGATTAGGTGCGTAGGCTTCGGATCACATCAGGGTGAATGGACACAGACGGTGGGCAGGAGAATGAGCGGACGAGTTCTCATTGGTGGAATTGTCTCTAGAGACCCTACTATTATCCTAAAAGCAGCACAATAAACGCGTTTTCGATATCATGCTTCACCTATCCACCACATCATCAATTATCCCTCGCCAGTGCATCGGCTATCCTCTCCCAGGCCCTCTCCATTAACCCCACTCTTTTAGTGCTTTGCACTACACCAGTTTGATCGACCACTACAGTTACTGTAGATTTCAGATTGGTGAACGGTGTAATCTGATGCGTCAGATCCGTCAACTCGACTACTTCGTTGCCTTGTTCGTCAAGTCTTTTGATGACCACGATGCCGGGTGGGTAGCGACTCGAATGCGTGGGCATGAAGGTGTGTAGTTCGATGATGTTGTCGCTTCGTTTGCACGACTTCAATGAATTCACTCGGCTGTATGGCGCAGTCGAGTCTGACTTTTTGGTTTTATAAGGCGTGCCGTGTTCGACATGGGTGGTGTTTAAGGAGGTTGCGACAGTGGATGGCGATGTTGAGTAAGTTGACGGCGTGAATGTTGAACAGATGTGTGATGACTTCGAATAAGACAGAGGCGTTTGTGTCGCTCGATCAGCGTAAACGTGTTTTCGCGCCGCCCTTCTTCTTTGTTGTGATGACTTGTGTGCGATGCGGAAATGGCTGGGCACTTCACTGCGAGCGGACATCTCGTCGCTGCGCGACGATACAACAGCACCGTCGCTACCAAACTCTTCTTCTCCGCCGAAACCATGGTAGATAGATCCATGACTGCCGTAAAGGTGCTCATATGGCGAGCCCATACCCAAGCAATTGGGCCCTGGAACGCGAAAATAGCAACACACGAAAGTCGAGCGCGAATCCAAAATGCAAACAGGAACCAGAGGGGCTCTCCGGTTCATGATCAATATATCCCTCAAAGACGGCATCCATCAATTCCTTTCCAGTTGCGTTATGGCTGTAGAGAAATACCGCACGCTAAGCCCGAATGGTTGTGTCTCCAGGAACGAACAACGCGTGGTAGCGTGTGGCGTTCGGTAACGAACGATGCTGCAAGCGTAGGACGTGATCGGAATTGGAGTCTAACAGAAAATGTATGGCATGGAGTATTCGCCGTATGCCGGGGCACTCTGCTTTGGCTTCTTTGCTGGTTTCGCGCTGGTTGCCTCCTTTTGGAGACTGTGCAATGTCTTCTTTGCTACTTTCTTGAGGCGTTTCCAGATCGCTTGTTCAAGGCAGTCGCGCTTGTGGTTTGTTTCGGTGGGGAGATGTTGCGCAAAGTACTTCATGATTGTTGTTCTAGCGGCGGTAGTTGGTATGGCGGTGGTGGTTCCTGGGGTTGAATATCTTTGGTCTGGTAAATTGGGTTGGGAAGTATGAAAGAACTGTAGTAGAGGAGATGTTCCGGTTTATATACTTGGACTCAATGAAGTGCTGCCCACGCAGATGGATTCCATGTTGCGGAAGCGAGGTCTATACCATGGTTGCTGAACATACCCAACAACGCCGCGTACCAATGAACTGGAACTATGGACCAGAACAAGTGACATGATCAATTTCCATCCACCAGAACTTCAGATTACAGCATCACTTGTTCCTATTGTGATTCGCATCTTCCTCCTTTATCGTGATTGGTGCGATCTCGCCGAACAATGGGAACTAACCCCAATTTGGAAATATTTGCTAGCGTCTGTAGATGCGACAAGCATTTGTAATACTCAAGATGCGCAGGAGAACTTCGAGAGAGTATAAGTAGGGGTAGAGACTGCAGAATTGCATTGAGCAGAACAGTCGTTCCTATCCTCTGATCTTCCCTAACAACCTTCTACGTTCAGTTAAAAGCCAAGTCTTGTTATCAGCTCACCATGTCTACACACTCCGCCGTTGCAACAGTGGCCAAGAAGGCGCCTCTTGAGATCATCCAAGTTCCCACTACAACTCCGGAAGCGCAGCAGGTCCGCCTTCGTGTTGAGTGGACTGCTTCTACGCCCTTGGATCTGCACCAAAACGACGGGGCTTTACTCGTAAAGCACCCTCAGGTCCTTGGTGACAGTGTCGCCGGTACCGTAGTTGAAGTAGGAGCGGGAACCAAGCGACTGGGGGTTGGAGACAAAGTGTTCGGCTTTACCTGGAAGACCCAAGCTCAAAAGGCCTATCAGGAATTCTGTACTACAGACGAATGGCTTCTGGCCAAGGTAAGCTACACCCCATCTTGTCGATTTGTTAGGCGAATGCTGAAGTGCTGTAGTTACCTGAAGGCTTCACTCCGATGGAGGCTGTAACGCTTCCTAACAACTTCGTAACTGTGTTCCACTCTCTTACGACAGATCTGGGCCTCGAAACACCCTGGCCGAAACCCGAGAATTGTGTACCTGACGATGCCGATTCTGCGATATTGGTCTGGGGTGGCTCCTCGTCAGTGGGTCAATTCGCCATCCAGATTCTGCGCTACTACGGATACAAGAACATTCTGGCGACAGCGTCTCAGAGACACCACGAGAAGCTACGCATCCTTGGCGCGCATAAGGTGTTCGACTACAACAATCCAGATGTCGTCGAGTCTATCCTGAAGTCTGGTGGTGACCGCGGAGTTCCACTGGTCTATGACTGCATCGGCAGCCTGAAGGGTAGCATCACACCGATCGCCAAACTTGCGAAGCAGGGTTCCAAAGTCGCCATACTACTACCCGTGGTTGTGCGCGACTCAACCGACACCGAGGATCCAGAGTATGAGATGGATGTGGGCAAGGTGGCTGAGTGGAATGACGGGGTCGATGTAAGAGGCGTGCGAACACATTTCTACCAAGAGGTGAGTTTTACCGGTTTGTTGTCAAAGAAGCGCAGCTAACACTCCATAGAATGAATTCTTCAAATACCATCTTCAGCCCGACATCATGCCCACCTTGTTGAAGGATAGAGTCGTGACGCCGCAAAAGCAAAGGATTGT